ATCTAATTTCACTTATAACATATAAATATAGTAACTGCACTAGTAAATTCTGAATATTAAAAGAAATAGCTTCAATATCCTATGTTATATGTCAATCTTAATGGGACACATCTCCTTAGTTTCTTTGTTTTCAATAAGAGATTTCAGAAAAATTATAGGCCTCTCAAAAAAGTTATGTTTGTTGTTCAGACTCCATGATGAATAACATCTATTCAAAAAATGGTTTAAAACCTTTTTGTCTGTGATGCAAGTGTGAGAAAAGGGCTTACCATGCCTGAATGACTTGCACCTCATGCTCACCTCTGGTCATGTGAGGTTAGCCATCTGCCTCACGCCCTCTTCAGTGTGTCGGATCCTGGCACTCTCTCCAGGCACCCGTCTGTGAGTTATCCTTTTCATATTGTGCCTTCCGTTGTGGTTATCTTTTATATCATTACCCAGGAGTTTGAATTTCCTGGTTCTTGATTGTAATTTGTGTTTCTGGAGTTTTACTTATTTGTTATTATTACACATATTTTTTGTGAGTGTGTCTGTGTGTTTGTGTGTGTAGCTAAATAAAAATTATAAACCATAAAAGGAAGCAACAATATACATAAATCATATTTCCTAAAGGTAGTTAAAAACAGTGTCTCATATCATGCAATACTGTGGTTTTATGGTAATTTTTTAGTTATGAACATTTATGTACTAGCTGCTTATAAGGGCAAGAAACTACTCTCTCTTTAAGGTAAAAAGAAGCCAAGAAAGGGTTGAAGTGAACAGGTAGTTGACAGAAAACCTGACACTTTCTCCTCTTTCTTCATTATCTTATTTCATTATTATTATTATCATTAATATTATTTTTAGTATTATGCTTTTATGATCATCATTATTACTATGCATTATTTTTTTATTATTACTATTATTATCCTTTTATTATTATTATTATTACCCATTTAGTATCATTATTATTATCTTTTTATTATTATTATCCTTTTATTATTATTATCCTTTTATTATTATTATTATTATTATTATTATCTGTTTATTATTATTATCCTTTTATTATTATTATTATTATTATTATTATTATTATTATTATCTGTTTATTATTATTATTATACTTTTATTATTATTAATATTATCCTTTTATTATTATTATTGTTATTATTATTATTATTATTATTACTACTATTACTATTACTATTATTCTCCTTCAAGGCAAATCTTTTTTGGAAATTTCAAAGTTTTCTCAATTTTCCACATTGCATTGGTTTTCCATTGTCCAGATGTAGATTTTGAAAGCGTAAACCACTGTATTAACGTTCTGCATAATCAGTCATTCCCTTTTTCCTGTTTATTTCAGAAAAACAATGATATAATCCAAAACACCTGGCTGAAATTTTCCACCATGGCGAGCCCCACGATCGAATCTCTATGTTGTTTATCGAGCACGAATGCCTTCAGTAAAGACTTTCTCATAGACTTCCAGAGTGTGCCTTACAATGCCATATCCATTCTGGCATCCCTTTTTGGCATGGCTGGTGCCATATACCAGGTAAAACATCAAATTTCCAAAGTCTGTTCTTGCATGTCAATATGTTCCATATGGCTTTCATACTTGGTTTATAATCTTGTTTTTATTTACATACAGATTAATTGTAATTCCAGTGAGTACTAGTAATGTCTTATTATTTACTGTTTCTTCATATGTCAACACAGTAAATAACCTGATGGAATGCAATTTACCTTTAAAACTAATTTCTCATTTAAAGATCTTAGTACTGTATGCAAATTGATAAAGTACTTTTGTTCAGATAATCTACACTAATTAATAATAAGTAATTTATCATTAAGGCTGGCTAATGATCCCTTACAGTCTTTCTTCAAAATAACTGGCAGTATATGTATTAAAAGTTGAGGATGCATGATTTATCATTCTTTTTCTATTTCCTTTATTTTCTCTTCTTCCTTCTTTTTATTCTCCCCCTACTTGATTTCTATTTTGTCCTTTGCAGGTTCTTCCCCGAACACTTGGTAATGGTGCTAACGGTCGAGGGGGAAGGTTTTTCAAGACGAGGGGGCGCCTTATCATAAGATGGCTAGCCTTTGCTGACCTTCTGGCCGCATTCGGTGAGGGAAAAGTGGACGTTTGTATGGAGTGTGTCTTTTGGAAACAGAGAAAAGTGTTATTGATTTTTTTTTTGTGGTTTCTCTTTCATTTTTTTTATTTCTTTATCATCTAAAGAGGTAAATGTTTATCATTTTGGGAATGATATATTCATGTCTTGATGTTATTTATATTTAGAGTTTGTTCTTTCCCTTATTGTTTTTTGTTGATTTTATTGATTTTGTGTTTTACAGTGAATAGACCTTGGTTGTTCTTTTTTTTTCATGTTTTTCTTCTTCTGTTCCTATTTCCTATTTTTCTTTGTACCTTTTAAATTCATCTCTTGATTTTTACCCCTTGTTTTAAGAATTTTCTATTTATTCTTCGTTTTGTTTTTTATTTTGATATTTTTGTAGGGATTCTTGTAAGATCGGCTTCCTGGCTTGCCGATGACACTTTTGGATCAAAGGCAGATGACAGCAGACTAGGGCAGTCTATGTGCATCATAACATCGGTAAGAGTTTTTCTTAGAATAACATTTCATGAAGGTTTTCCTCTCCTTTCCTTCCTCTTTCTTTTTCTTTTTCTTTTCTTCCTCCTTTTTCATATCTTTCTCTTCCTTCTTCTCCTCCTTCTCCTTCTTCTGTTTCTCCTCCTCCTCCTCCTTCTCATTCAGCCCAATGATGTATGTACATTCAGTGTGCTTGCTTGCAGAAGCCGTACAAAGAGCAACCCAATCCAATTGTCCTGATCCTGCAAAGCACACTAAGTACTGTAAATAATCACCTAAAAAAAAATCAGGAAATGCAAAATATCAAAATATCTTTATCTTTCTTCCTGGGGTTTCTTCCTTTCCTTATTTTAGTGTTATTGTTTCTTTTTTTCTTTTAAAGCATATTAACTAAGTTACTTTATAGATCATTTGCTCTGCTTTCGTTGTTTTCTGTTTACTTGTCTATATATGTGTATACATATATATAATGTGTGTGTATATATATGTGTGTATAAATATATATAATGTGTGTGTATATAAATATATGTATATATGTATACATATACATACATATATGTATGTATAGTATGTAATAAGAAAAATATGACTTTGGTCTGCACAGTTTTCATATGCTTCATTATGAATTAATTATCTTTTTGCAATAGCATTTGAGAAATTCACATCAACCAACAGTAGATGTACTATAACTTCATCCAGTCAACAAAGACATACCATAATGGTAACTAGTAGATCCTAGTTGCACCTAATCCAATTTATATAAACCAGACCCACAGTGAAAAAAAGGAATACAGCAGATCTTACTAAACCATGATTTTTACCACACTGTTTTTGTACTTTCTAGGCTCCAGTAGAGCCCTCCATTGCAAAAAAAAAAAAAAAAGTAAACCCATGTCATGTTGAAAGCTAACAAGGGTTTATTTTCCTGAACAGGTTATTATCCACTATTTCTACACTGCAACATACTGCTGGACCTTCTTATATGCCCTGGATGTGAAGCTGGTAATGCATGAGAGACGCATAAGCCACCGCATGTACCATGCAGTGGCTTGGAGTGTTCCGCTAATCCTGTGCCTTATGGGACTGCTCATCCTGTATCTTCCTGATCTAAAGTAGGTCTCTCTCCTGTCAAGTGTGTGTGTGTGAGAGAGAGAGAGAATGTTTGTATGTGCGCATGTATATATATTTTTGAGTTCAGTTATCTCAGTCTTTCTGTTTTTTCATAAATTATATAGACATCCCTATACTATATAAAGATCTTAAACAATTATATTCTTGGAAGGATTTTCTTGGGCAATAAATTGTTATGATAAAAAAAATAATGATGCTAGTAGAATATCACAGTTTTTATTCGTATACAAGTGCCTTAATCCCTGTTTTCTTTCTTTCAGTTGCCACAGTCAAGCCGTGAACCCGTATCTGAGATTTCTGCCGAATTATTTAAGCACATTTATTCCCATTGTCATTGTTATGATTGGCAACCCAATACTTTATTGCATAGCGTTCTCAAGGGTTGAAAAGCAAATAATGTCAGCCAGAGGGAGGTAAGATTTTTTTCTTCTTTAAAATACCATTAAAAAAGTCAAATTTGTTCTAGATAATAGAACACTGTAACCAGGAAAATGCATTTTGTTTCTACTTTTTCAGATTTTTTGAGATAAAATAATTTATAAGTAGAAAAAAATCATTATTGATATGGAATCACATGAAACAAACACCACTTTCTCTTGTCAGATTCACCCACTCAGAACGGCGGGTTGTTGATGGTCTGCGCAAGAAGTTCTTGCTAATCAATGGAGTTTTTTATCTCTGCTGGTTGCCAAATATCATCAATGGCATCGTCTTGTGGACATCTTGGAATAATCTTCCTAAAACATTTATTATAACAGTGTGGTATCTTATGGTAAGCTGTTCTTTTTTTCTTGTTCCATCCCTCTTCTTCTTCTCCTTGAAGCTGCTCCTATAAGAGAGCTAATTTGTTACTTTACTTGGAGCAGTTCCTTGTTCAAGTAATAGTATGTTGATCACACCAGTCAGGTGATATCTATTTTACCTCATTGCTTATTCTGTATGCTTTGTTCTTGTTTCCAAGAATGTATCTGTGTCTCTTGAGAGCAATACACTTGTGATGGAATGGGTAAAGTACACACCTTTATTCCACCACTTTAATAACATAATAATGCTTTGGTTCATTATATACCCTGACATGGATCCATGAGTAAGCAAGAGCAACCAACTGCCCACTTGCTCTTATATGTTTTATGCTGAATAGAGTAGTTTTACTGACCTCTGACACACTTTAATTTTATGCTTGTTCATGCCCTATTATAAAGATTGTACTTATACGCATCAATTAAAATACATATGGGTACTAGTAATAATATAATATAAAACTAAGATATGATTATGACATATGAAAATATATATCTAAAGATTGTAGAAGTAACATTAACATTAACTTACTACAATACCCATGACATGTATAGTACATTGTGAGCTATGTTTGTTTGTTATAGCAGACAATACAATGTTCCTGTAACATTTTTTACTTTCTTTAATGATTGAGTGAAACAAGTTTCAAACTGGGACTGCTAAATCTTGAAAATTAACATTTACTCTAAAATATTATTTGATTAAACTTTACAATAAGACTTAATTTTTAAATTCCCATCCAGACTGTGTTCCATAGAAACTTGCACACAGATGGTAGATCTTTTAAAATCTTTTGTTCTTTATTATGAATGAGCAGTAAACTCAGCATGGCTGAAAGTCATCAACAAAACCAAGAGTTCTCTCCTGATCTGTTTTAAAGGATCTGAATCTAAAACCTATGAAATTTTCTGAGTTTCATCCAGCTAATAGAATATGTGGATTAGTGGCCGCAGTTATTTATTTCACAAGCTGTGGAACTTCAGAGTGCCTTCAACAGATTCCAACAGTTGAGCAACTTAGTTTACTTTGGCATATCCAAAGTGTATTCACCTGTCCCTTTTGTCAGAGACTTTACCATTGTTATTCTATATGCAGGTCTTTTTGAAGTCACATATTTTCTGCAGGTTCAAGGAGGACATTGCTCTTTGCACAATTTGTGCTTTTCAGCTTGTTCTTCATCTTCTGAGAATGTCTATAGGACTTCATCATTTCTCTTGTTTTACAGGCAATCCTAAATCCACTGCAGGCCGTATTTAACTCCATGGTGTATCGCAGCTGGGAGGCAGGTAGTGGCATCTCAAAGCCCAGTTGGTTCCCAGCAAGATTATGGCCAAAGCATTCATCACAACAGCTGGAGGTGCCCAATGTCAATGTTGATGATCTTTATAACGATCAGGTATGACATTGCATAGCTGTCATGTGTTTATAAGAGTATATAAAAGATATTGTTTGTACTGTGTACAAAGACAAATTGGCTGTGCTAGGTAGTTGTCAAAATTACATAAAAATTATATAATTTATTGATTTATATATTGCAAAATGTAGGTTGTGTATGAATGCAGATGTGGTTGGGTGTGGAAATAGAAAGAGAGCGATCAATGACTAAATAAACATAAAGACTAATTGTGACACAGTCTTACACAGTATTTTGAACTGCTAAGAGATTTTAGAACTTAACCATTCTCACTATTGCAGGTTCCCGAACAAGAAGAGTCTGTAGAAGAATCTCCTCAGCGTTCTGTTTCTATGAGGTTGTCACATGAACGAACACCATTACTGCACTCTTTGTCAAAAGATGGAGTTAATCAAAGCCAGCATGAGGTCACCAGTAGCCAGACTGCACCTAAAGCATATACTTAATACACAAGTTGTTTCTGCTCCAATGTAGTTAAATACATTATGGATTGCACTGAAGCATATACTTACTACTTATATCTTCAGGTCACCAAATTACCATGTGCCAATAACCTGAATGGTATGGAACACATATAGTACATTTGCTTCTCTCTGTTTTTGGCAGTCTCAGGGAAATGCTCTCTAATTACATATGCATCTGGAAAAAGCATGGTAATACTTTGACTTTACAGACTTCTGAAACTAAACACTTTTATCAAATGCTGAATCAACTTTAAGCAGGCCTAGCAGAATGTACCAGTATGACAAAATGTCCACTTGTTCTATGTTCTCAGTTGTCTCTAAGTATTACATCCCAAGTCACAGTGCATATGAAAATTTTCCTTTCCTCTGCAGTATTGTTGCTCAGATGATAATACTGACAATTTTTTGAAAATCATTTGTTTTTAATTGCTTTAATGATCAACAGTGCTTTACTTCATTTATCTATGGCTTGTATCACTGGATCTATAATGCTTTCTAAGGGAGTTTCTCAGAAGTCACAAAGAATTTGTCATCAGTCACAAAGCTCTCAAGAAAGTTCATATACTATAATATGACAAGCTTAATCTTGCATCTGCTTTCCAGATTTGTTTACCTTTTTTCTCATTTACATTTGTCTTACTAATTCTATAGTTCCTTGAATATTTATTACATTTATTTTATTGAACAAGATCACCTGTTACATTTTTAGAAACCTTTTATTTATATATTTTTTCTTTCTTTTCTTTATGGCATAGTCAATTCAAAAGCATTGTAAGTCTTATGGTGTTCTGTATCTTTTGGTACTGAAAATTAATAATTTTTATGTTTTAGTATACATTATTCACAAAATATTTTATGCTACTTGAAAGATGATTGAAGCACGTAATGAACATCTTAAGGCTGAAAGTTATTTATATAAGATTTTGAAAACTTGGAGCATTCCATGTACTATTTTATGCCATAGAAATAGTATCACGAGTATATATTAAATGCATAGATGCCATAAGATCTATCATTAAAATGCAGACAATGTTATAGAGAGTTGCTAATCATACATTCCAACTGTCTCAACATTCCAATTTTCATTCCAGATATATCCTTGAGATATATTTTTTTTAAAGATTGTTTTATAGTTAAATATATAATGCACTTTTTATTATGCTCACTGACCTCCATCCACAAATGCTAACCAGATATCAGGTTTACTCGGAGGATGGGAATCTCTTCTTGACAGCTAACTGATAACTATTGCAACAAAAAGGGGTTGCACCTGTTAATACTCACTGCCATATTCATTGCATTATACCGACTAACTTTTGTAGGTATTTTGTGTACAGGGCTTTTCATGCAGTTGATTGACATTGCTAGGCAAGATACTCCTTCCATTGGAACAACTTTGAACAGAGCATAGTGGGTAGATGTTGCCAGCTATTGATACCTGTTTTAGTTGATTTTTCTTTTCTGTTTTACTGATCACTGTTTTATAATCATTATTATTATTATTGGTGTTATTATTATTTTTATTATTATTATTATTATTATTATTATTATTATGATGGTAATTTTCATTAGCAGTAGTAATAGTAGTAGTATTGCTGCTACTACTACTATTACTAGTGTTATTGTTATTACTTTTGCTTTAGTTATTATATGTATGTTTGTGTATGTACATTTTTTCCATATAGGTTTTCCATTCCTCCCATACTTACAGCCTTGAATATGTAATATATTTTTTATTACCAATTATTGCAATGGTGAGTTTGTTGCAAAAGCTGTTTGTTCTCATTCACAAACTTGCTTTTTTTATTATTTTTGTAATATTACCTATGCAACTACATTATTATTATGTAATTGCAAATATTGATAGTAATTAAAACTGAATGATCAGAAATCTATTCCCTTGACAGGATATATATATATTGTAACAAGATTTGTAAGTTGAAAAGGACTCAAATTTTGTTATTTAACAAAAAATATTAGTAAAGGGTTGCAAAATCCTGTACATGTCTGAATGTGTTTTCAAGGGCACTCTTTATAATTTAATCTTTTCCATTCTTTCTTTGTTAATATTACTTGTGTACCAATGAAATATATTTAAGAGTGTAATGAATACTTCTCTTTTTTCTTTTTCTTTTTCTTTTTTTTTTTGCGTAAAGAAATACATATATATTTACCTAGATTGCGAAGCTTATTTCCCACTTTAGCATTTGGCATCTAAGGAACTGCCATCAGCATAAAGATATTGATATTTTTATAAGGTACTGCGTGTAATTATATTTACAGAATTTACACTGTCTGATTATAGTTGCATTAGATTAACAAGATATGGCATAAGAGTTACTGGAAAGAATTTGCCACATGCAAATGTTTGAATTGATAATCTCTTTACAGTCTTACTATTTAGAAGTGCTTAAGGTTATTCTTTTTTTTCAAGCAGCAGATAAACTGGGAGATATCATAAAAAGATCATTGTTTTGCTTTCTGTGGACAAGTTGTTAAAACCTAGAAGTCTTAATTATCATATTAGGTTTACATAGTTTTTTTATATATCTATTTATATGGGACTGTAAACAGCTCATTAAATATTACTCAAGTCAATAAACTTTTCATTGGTACAATATACCTCTGTTATTTTTACTCCTTAATTTTCACTGTTTTGATCCCAGGAATGGAGGGTATGAAATGGTAAAAAAAAATGTCAATCTGATAGTTATTTCATACAAATGAAATGCCCCTTGAATAACAAGATGCTCTACCACACTACACACTAAAGAAATGCCTCTGTCAAATAAGACAATAGTTAAATAATATAGCTATATTTCATCTTCTAGTAGTGTATGGTGAAAGTCCACGCAAGCTTTATCATAGTGTATAAGTACAATAACACACTAGGTTGAGTCTTATGAATTAATATAAACATGCTACATGAAAGCCCTTTTTCCCATGTGGGAATTTGCAAACACATTTTTTGAGAACCCTTGCTCTGAAGAATGAAAGCATATTAATCACATTCTGATACATTTTGTTTCAATTTGTTACAGTGGTTAATTGATTCATCTTGCAACATTCAGGGCTCATGTTTAAATTTCTTTTAGTCAATTGCAATACATTTTGCACTCATACAGTGTAGCAGACCAAAGATATTGAATGCAAAAAGATAATCAGTATCCTTAAATTGATCCAAAGGTTCATTGTTTTAAGCTTCCATCATCATCTCAATGGAAGATCATGTCTTTATCCTGATCTGGTCTATATTTTTATCATGTTCTCTATATGTTTTTCCACATGTTCAAATAAACTGCATATTACTTAGATGTTCTGCATTTTCAAATGTTCCTCTCCATGTTTCCATATGTCCTTGTGTTGTTTACATATTATTTATGTTCTTCATATGGCCTTATTCCTGTACATGCCTGACTCACTACCAATGGAGAAGTGGCAGAAAAAACGTAGCAGTCAGGACTCAACACATAGTGAGAAAAGTGAAAGAGAAGAAAAATGCAGAACAGGGCAAAACGATTCTATACCAGGCATTAGTTGTATCTGCAATGATAGCCATGTTCTCCATGTTTTTTCTACATGTCCAAATAAACTACATATTACTTGAATATTGTGCATTAGACGATTCTATACCAGGCATTAGTTGTATCTGCAAGGATAACCTCTAAACAGAAATTTGATGAATGAGGTAATAGTGAAGATGATGGAGAAGAGGAGAAGGAATTGACAAAATATGTTGAATGCAAACAAAGCAAGAGATCAAGGGCTGAAGGGGAAGTCCTGAGTGATAAAGTCAGAAACTGACACTGCTAGGAGAGCTTTGGGAAAAATAAAGGATTTTTTGGGGGTGAGTTTGAAGGAAGCTGAAAAGCTAAATAGCACAGGCAAAAGATGAAGAAATAGTTATACAAATGGTAAGGGAAAGATTAGACAAATATTTGTTTTTTTTTGTTTTTTTGTTTTTTTGTCTCTGCCTTTCTAATTATTTTTTCAATATCTTTTGTTAATTCGGTTAATCAGATCTAATTACTACTCAAGTCAATAAACTTTTCATTGGTACAATATACCTCTGTTATTTTTACTCCTTAATTTTCACTGTTTTGATCCCAGGAATGGAGGGTATGAAATGGTAAAAAAAAATGTCAAACTGATAGTTATTTCATACAAATGAAATGCCCCTTGAATAACAAGATGCTCTACCACACTACACACTAAAGAAATGCCTCTGTCAAATAAGACAATAGTTAAATAATATAGCTATATTTCATCTTCTAGTAGTGTATGGTGAAAGTCCACGCAAGCTTTATCATAGTGTATAAGTACAATAACACACTAGGTTGAGTCTTATGAATTAATATAAACATGCTACATGAAAGCCCTTTTTCCCATGTGGGAATTTGCAAACACATTTTTTGAGAACCCTTGCTCTGAAGAATGAAAGCATATTAATCACATTCTGATACATTTTGTTTCAATTTGTTACAGTGGTTAATTGATTCATCTTGCAACATTCAGGGCTCATGTTTAAATTTCTTTTAGTCAATTGCAATACATTTTGCACTCATACAGTGTAGCAGACCAAAGATATTGAATGCAAAAAGATAATCAGTATCCTTAAATTGATCCAAAGGTTCATTGTTTTAAGCTTCCATCATCATCTCAGTGGAAGATCATGTCTTTATCCTGATCTGGTCTATATTTTTATCATGTTCTCTATATGTTTTTCCACATGTTCAAATAAACTGCATATTACTTAGATGTTCTGCATTTTCAAATGTTCCTCTCCATGTTTCCATATGTCCTTGTGTTGTTTACATATTATTTATGTTCTTCATATGGCCTTATTCCTGTACATGCCTGACTCACTACCAATGGAGAAGTGGCAGAAAAAACGTAGCATTCAGGACTCAACACAGTGAGAAAAGTGAAAGAGAAGAAAAATGCAGAACAGGGCAAGACAATTCTATACCAGGCATTAGTTGTATCTGCAATGATAGCCATGTTCTCCATGGTTTTTCTACATGTCCAAATAAACTGCATATTACTTAGATGTTCTGCATTTTCAAATGTTCCTCTCCATGTTTCCATATGTCCTTGTGTTGTTTACATATTATTTATGTTCTTCATATGGCCTTATTCCTGTACATGCCTGACTCACTACCAATGGAGAAGTGGCAGAAAAAACGTAGCAGTCAGGACTCAACACAGTGAGAAAAGTGAAAGAGAAGAAAAATGCAGAACAGGGCAAAACGATTCTATACCAGGCATTAGTTGTATCTGCAATGATAGCCATGTTCTCCATGGTTTTTCTACATGTCCAAATAAACTGCATATTACTTAGATGTTCTGCATTTTCAAATGTTCCTCTCCATGTTTCCATGTCCTTGTGTTGTTTACATATTATTTATGTTCTTCATATGGCCTTATTCCTGTACATGCCTGACTCACTACCAATGTAGAAGTGGCAGAAAAAAACGTAGCAGTCAGGACTCAACACATAGTGAGAAAAGTGAAAGAGAAGAAAAATGCAGGTTTAAGAAAAAAAAAAATACAAATCAAAAGTTTCAGTCATATGTGTAAAAAAAATTAAATTTTAAAAATAAAAAATGACTGAAAGTTTCTCAAAAAGAGAAACATACTTATGCACAGATAGAGAGATATTGGTAATGATATCAAATTAAAGATAAAGATTATATTACTATTAGGCTTTATCTGCATAAAGCTTGCAATTATTGCAAGTTGCGCACGAAAATGCATCGAGGCAGTGCCTTCCCGCTTGGACCAAACCAGCTGTCTCACACACATAGCGTCTTGTTGTTTGCATGTACAAGAAATAATATGTTAATTATGGTAATTAAGTTTTGAATGGCTTGCACCCAATACCACAATACATGCTCAAATCATGGGTTATAACTTAATTATTCTAAAAACATCTATGTTACTACATGTCCATAGTTACATGACTGACTTCCACACTCCTACCATACTATATTATGGTGGTGATGTTGACCATTATAAATGGTAAATGATATTACTACAATGATGACAATGGCAATGATAATAGCTATGACTGTTGATTATGATAAAAAA